TTGAGAGAGAGAGGTGCTTGGGTGCTTGTGCAATTGCTAATTTTTCTGCCAGGCACAGGTTGTACCTTTTGTTTTTGTTGCTGTAGGCCACTGCTCTGCGGTGTACCGCCCATTGAATGCTGCATGCCTTCCCACGACAATTGATTGGTGTATCAGCTACCGTTGCTTTTCAAAAACAAAACTCTCCTCGACCCACCCATCCGTAAACGAAACGTTATCTTTTCGTGTAAAAGATTGAGAATTACGGACGGCTCCTAAACTTGAAGACAACAACAAGGGAGCTTCCAGGACTACAGTAGAGCCATACCTTTGCCACAACCAAGTGGTGTTGCAGAATACGATTCTCTCCCAGCAGACCTTCGGGTGACTTTGTTGGCGAGTTGAGTGTGGACGTCGACGAAGTCAACGTCAGCTGGCAACAAAATATACAAAAATAAACACCAGCTGTAGAAGAGAAAAGGACCAAGGAACTACAAGTTACGCTATAACGGCACCAACACCACCAGTCACTTGACAATTAGCTCATGCAATAACATTGCACGACACTGGCCAACGGTGCTGACATTCTACAACGTACTTGGTCCATTTATTTTCCATGAATTTATCTTTGGCTCTCTCTCCATCCGAGTCCATCCTTAAACACTGTTTAGCACAAACTATAGGCGGTTTCCGTGAAAATATGTGACTTCATTCAAACTGGCCTGTTTGACGGCATGGCCAACCTCCACGTGGAATATGTACTGCGACGTACCTAATGCTTGTGCCAAGTCAATATCTATATCCGAACTTCTGCAGGAATTACCAATTCACTTCCCCTCGAAGTACATGTTTAGAAGTAATTCACCACACCGGCAACACGACGACAAGGAACTGTAAGTCACATCTAACTTACTGTGGATACTGGATTGAAATCCTTCAGTTTCCATCATACACATCCCAACAGAGAAGGCTGCGGGAGCACTGAATGGCAAGACCTTGTGGGTAGCACTCCTTTATACAGAGAACTATAGCGTAAGTGAAGAAGCGCCTTTGCACGATTCGAGCTGAACTGCGCGCAAACATACCCCACCCAAAGCCTGAAATGTCACTTCATTTCGGCGCGCTATTCTAGTTTTAACCCTTCTTCAGCCGCTAAATTCGAATATTTTTGATTCGCAGGCAGGCACTGTGTCAAAACTCGTGCGCCGGACACTATGCAGCCCTAGACCTGTGACACCCACCCACCCACCCACACACCCACCCACACACACACACACACACACGCACGCACAGACATCGTGGACAGAGCTAACGCCGTCATACCACTCACCTCTGATCCACTATAAGCACTAACATCTGACATGGGAGAAAGAAGACCAAGATCCTGCGATATCACAAGGATATAAACACACACGCATGCACACATACACACGTGTACACACACACACACACACACACACACACACACACACACACACGTGCACGCACCCACGCACTGTCTTTGTCAATTGTCGGCTAATTGCAAAAATATGATAAACGTATGTGCACGTTGGACCTACATGTAGTGTTGAAACGAGCGTATCTATAACAAACGAGCCATCAGTTCCACTAACGAGCAAGCTATCGAGCGAGCTAACGAGTTTCATTGAGGTGGCAAATATGATTGTTGGAATATTTTTTTTCTAAGTTCGATTTTTTCAGCTGGTTCAAATTATCACCGCCGGCATTTGGGGTTGCTGCTGCTTCACTTCGGACTGCTGTTAGGTGTCGAGATGTCTCTTCAGCGCCGTCATTGAGTAGCCTTTGTAAGAATAGACCGTTCTGCAAAGATTGCAAGTAGCCCTGGTCTTCGCTGCATCGCGGGAGAAAACTTCCAAACGACTGAGCGTAACTTTCACTCGAATGGAAAGGTGACCGAAGCATATCCTGCGATAGGTCAGCAGATGCGGAACAAGACATCAGTAGAGTCCACCAAAGCTGCAACGACAACTGAAACAACTCAAGTGTCGTGCAGGCATACAGTCACTGTAACTGCGAGTGATTTTCACTGGACTCTCGATCGACTGGAGAGTCTTAAAATATTTTACGACTCCCCAGTCGACATGTATTGCCATGTGCACGGAGTACGGTGTACGGTGTTCGTTAATGCAAACGAGCTGGCCGCACAAACGAGCCGAGTTTCTGGCGAGCGAGCTAACGAGTACCCGGTGAGATCGCTTCAACACTACCTACAAGTACATTCACATCTCCGCGCAAACTTTAAAGTGATTGTGGCGTGATCTTGAAATCGTAGTTTGTCACGAAGCTTCTTCTGCACATCTCGATGGCACCAAGGCAAACATCTCAACTGTAGAAATTTGGCTTTTGTCTCGTTTTGGATCTACTAGTACTCAAGTGAACGAAAAATGTATCACCGGTATCAACTGTAGCAGATAAACAGGCCGCGAAAATCCAAAAATGTGGGTTCCCTTTTCAGACTACCTGACCCCATTGCCCCACCCCCTGTTTATAACCAGAAACCACTCAGTGGGCTAGGTGCTGCTGGCTGCCAAGGAACTACAGTAGTACTCAAGTTGACGAAAATGTATTACCAGTATCAACTGTAGTGGATACACAGGCAAAATCCAAAATGTGGGTTCCCTTTTTAGACTACCTGCCCCCCTCCCTCGCCCCATCCTCTGTTTATAACCAGAAACCACTCAAGGGCTAGGTGCTGCCGGCTGCCAAGGAACTAGCCTTACCGTTCCTCTAAGCGGCGACAGCATGAGATGATCGGGATGCTGCGCATCACCATTGGTGCGCGGGGCATGCTTGCTTGGAGTGTGCAGGCGACTGGAGGACTTCTGTAAGCGCACAACAAGACACGGACATATAAACACACACGCATGCACACATACACATGTGTACACCCACGGACATGTAAACACACATGCACGCACGCACGCACACACACAACACGGTGTGCTCAACGGAAGTTTACCAATCCACATGTCTCCTGGTGATTGCTTAAAAAAAGACTCTGAGCTGAGATTTAATTTTTCTCCACTGGATTTTCGTTTTGTACAGAAGCTTTGACCAGTAGTCCAGGTTCTTATGTGTAGTGTAACATCATTCTTTATCTCGTGGTACGATACGATTTCGGCAATTTCAGCTAATCACCGGCTGTTCTGAGCTGGGAAGAGCGATATACCCCGCTGGGGTCAAAAATATTCCCTGAGTCATGCCAAAGAGTAAATAGGGGAGATTTTAGTGTCGGTCACGCTCTATTTGGGACAGTACATGGGATAAATGGATTATACTATGCGTACTCTGTGTATACCGTGTCCCTTGCATTTTCCCTTGTGCATGCGGTTCGCACCTGTGAACATATTCGCCTTTATACCCCTCGTACTCATGGCACATGTAAAATCCATACATCTCCCTTACCTTAGAGAGGCCATCGTGAATATCGCCATTCTTCGACACCTCGTCATAGTCATGGTCGACAGGTGGCGGTCTGTGTGGAATGTCCAACTTCATGGCGCGAGCACCCAGCGGACGAGGGCCACCCGGGACCAAAGACCCGGGTATGTGATGGAACGTAGCCAGCGGAGGTCGGTCGCCCGCCGGCGGAGGGATGAGCGTGGCGTGCGGGATTCTCCCGTTGGTCGCCGTGGGAACGGACTCGATGCCAAGGCGAGCAAAGCTCTCCGACTTCTCCACCACCTCGAAGCCGTCGACCGGTACCAGCGTACCCGACTGATCACCTGGACGAAGGGGACACAAAAAGGGGAGAGAAGGGGAGGCAAAAAGCAAACTGTGATGTTGCCGCTGACTGGAATGCCAGGTTACCGGAAGTGTCCATAGGAGAAGGGTTTTTGCCAAGTGTAGGTGAACTATGATTCAGTTGAACAGTGATATCGCCTGTCGAAGAACAGAGGGTGGGTATGGGGGTGTGGGTATCGGGGGGGGGGGTATGGGGGTGTAAAGTGTGTGTATGAGGGGGGGGGGATCCACTTCAAGCTAGTGACGTTCGTATCTTCAATATTCCAGCATCTTTGTGCTCGTCGCTATTGAGTCGCAATTCTGCCTGTATGTACTGTGTATTCCGGAGTATAAGCCGCATTAGGGTATCAGCCGCATTAGGGTATAAGCGGCACTGGAGTATAAGCGGCACTGGAGTATAAGCCGCACTGGAGCATAACCCGCACTGGAGTATAAGCCGCACTGGAGTATAAGCCGCACTGGAGTATAAGCCACACTGGAGTATAAGCCACACTGGAGTATAAGCCACACTGGAGTATAAGCCGACTGGAGTATAAGCCACACTGGAGTATAAGCCACACTGGAGTATAAGCCGCACTGGAGTATCAGCTGTGCTCAGGCGCTTAATTAGCCTTTTTTCGTCACGAAGTACAGACATCCACCCTGTTTATCACTGCTATTTTAACCATCGTAGTAAAAGCCGCACCGACTTTTTGGGTGAATTACTAGCGTTTAAAGCGCGGTTTGTACTCCGGAGAATATGGTACCTTTCTCTGCACTGTCCGACGTCTGCTGCTGCTGTCGTCGCTCCAAGCTCTCCTGCTGGCGGCGCTTAGCATCCTTCAGCAGGTCCACGATGAGCATGCACAGGTCTTTGTGAGTGAGACGGGAGAGCTTAGAACGACCCTGAGCGTGAGAAAAACATAGACACAAACACAATCACAAACAAATAGCCAAACAAACAAACAACAGACAAACAAGAGACAGACAGACAAACAAAAAAACAGTGCAGGGTAGTCAAGCCGCTATTCAACTTTCTATGGAGGTGCGTGGTTGGAATCATCCAATTTGAACACTAGAACCAATTTAAACGCACATCCAGTATTCCAGCCACGATACGACGATTAGTTCGCCTCAAGAGTCCAACGACTAGAACGCTTGACCATTACTACTACAAGACAGACAGAGGCAAGCAAAGTCACAGTGCACTATTTACATCCAAATGCTTCGGAACAGCACAGGACGGCCTTCTACTTGCACAGTGAGTTTGACAAACGAGTGGTCCCAAGATCCAGGATGACAGCAACCTGCATGTACGCTGTTCAGGTAAGGCAACGCACGAGCACCCTAGGCATGAGCACCCTAGGCACGAGCACCTTAGGCACAAGCACCCTAGGCACGAGCACCTTAGGCACGAGCACCCTAGGCACGAGTACCCTAGGCACGAGCACCCTAGGCACGAGCACCTTAGGCACGAGCACCCTAGGCACGAGCACCCTAGGCACGAGCACCCTAGGCACGAGCACCCTAGGCATGAGCACCCTAGGCACGAGCACCCTAAGCACGAGCACCCTAGGCACGAGCGATATGCCCTGCGAGCTAGCAGAGACCTACCTGATTTCTGACGGGTACGAGCACGCTGTTCTTGGGCAGGTACTGAACTGGAGTGTCTATCTGCAAAGTGTTCCACACTAGCAAGTCAACACAACAGTACACAACAAGAACAACGCAAAGCCAATCAGCACAAGGCTGTGGGAAACGACAAACTGACGAGAGAAGAAGGTAACGCACAAGATGAGAACACAGAACAGCAGATGCAGCAGCCTAGGAAAAGTAGATAGGAATGCAAAACGGATGAAGTGGAGCATGCGCAACGTGCACAGAAAAGATTGGAATAGAGATGGGTCAATAGAGAGTGGAATAGAGATGGGTCAAGTAGAGATGGGTCACTAAGAGAAAGAAGCGGACACGACCTGATACAGCACTTTCTGCTGCCCGGTGACCGTGACCACGTGGAACTCGGAGTTGCAACACAGCTTCCCCTCCCTCTCTCCCTCTCTCTTGTACAGTACACCTAGGTAGTCTAATCCAAGCCACTCCACAACCACTCCATAACCACCCCATCCCCCCCCCCCCCTTTCTCCTCCCCCCCCCTCCTCCTCCCCCTCCCCCCCCCCCCGTTTTCTTGTAATGTCCAAAGTTGAAACCCTATCAACACCCAAAGGCAAAGGCCAAGGCAAGCCAGAGAAGACAGACGCTTTCCATCGCATGATGCAAAAAAATGATTATCGTTTTGCAGCAAGGACATTACATTCATCATACCGTCTTCGTTTTCCCGTCTTTCCACCTCGTCGTACAAGTCGGCGGCCAGCTCCTCAAAGCGACTGTTACACAGCTGTGGTACAACACACACACACACACACACACACACACACGCACACACACACACACACACACACACACACACACACACACACACACACACACACACAGGAGAAACGCAGGCGAACTCCAGTCACCACATGCAGCCAGCTCCCTTGTTCACACCCAATGGCTGTCAAACACAGTCATGCTTGGCTTGCACACTGGTTTTCACAAGCTCCGAAATGAGTACAGGCAGCCTGGTGAACAATGCAACCCTCAATCGAGCATGAGGAAACTGCTGTTATTCTAGAGTTATCGCATGAGCTGATTGTTTAGTAACTGGCGGTGTTAGTGGGTATTATGGTAACTTGTTGTTCCCTGGTCCTTATATTTATTATAAATTGATCATTGGATCTCTACTCAAGGTTTGGAGACTCCACTGTAGCCAATACTTGAATCCATACATCCTGTACACACACCTTGTACACTCTCTCTCTCTCTCTTACGGTCTCTAGGCTACACTGCAATTGATATACATTAGATCAAATTTTCGGGCAAGGCCCATCATCAGGAATTGGCTCTCTATCCGAGTTTATTCTCGAGCTATCATTATTTGCCAAGTTGGATAATTTACAGTTATTATGGTCACCAGGATAGAAGATAGCATCGTTATTTCGTACATGCATATCCGAGGTTGCTAATCACAATGCTGGCAGCAATGCTTTGGAGAAAGAATGGACGGAGGAAAGCCTGAGAAATACAGTTAGGTGTGGACGCAGAGCTGACGCTATCAGGGAAAACATGGCTACCCAATAGATGATATGCCAAATAACGTGCAACTAGACTTGAGAGGGCATTTCACACAAGTTGCATACGAATTATACTACAATGTGTACATGGTAGGCCCTGAGCTCTGCAGGAATACCAGTCGCAGGTAACCGTACAACTTTGAACTTTGTATGCAATTATTCTGCAATGCCCTCTCAAGTCTAGGTGCGCGTTATTTGGCATATCATCTATACGGTTAGGTGGTGAACTATACCTGTCTTAGACGCTTTACTCCTTCGATGTCTCGGTTTATGGAGTCCAACCTAGTGTGCAACAAATCAAAAACCACCAACAGGGAACACAGCTGGCATGTGATAATTGAGAGAGTATCGGTTGCTCGCAACATTGGAGCTCTTTCTTTGTTTCTTGCCGACTTGACTCACTTTCAGCCTCTCCAGCGTTGCGAGGACACCAGCCAAAATCCTATCATTACTGCGTATTTTCTGTAATCTTTTGTTTTTGTGGAGCGCTTGGGCTGCAATGAAGCCGAGACCCTATGGTCGGTCAAGCTGCCCCTGCCTCTCCCCCACTCCTGCCATTCCATATGTCTCATCGCTGCCTTGCTGCTTTGTGCCGTCAAATGGTGTGTGTGTGTGTTTTTGTAAAAATAAAATAAAATAAAATAAAAAATACTACCGCTATGAGAGTGGTGACAGATATGTGAAAAGAAGCAAAAACCAGCCGGTTGACCCCGACATACATGTACAGTATCTGTACATCTGTACATTCCTGAAAGCAGTTTGACAAGCTCACAAGGCGCAGCTGGGAATTTACGCTTTTACAGTAGTGGTTACTTTCACACGAGCGCAAAAGATGCAGTGACGAGTCACGGATGCAATATCATTTTTGCAAGAACATCTAACCACTGGAGTCTGTGCACACCTAATCTGAACATTAGACAAAGTGTCTGTAGTCTTTGCTGCAAACAGTGCTCAATACCTCAAAAAGGGGCAGAGCTTACCACACAGGGCAGAACAACAGAGACCAAAAATCCTTCTCGTGACTCCGAGTTTTGTGTTTCAAAAAAATACTCATCAGACGCACATTACAAAAATACATACATGGAGATGGTCAAGAACTCAAAAATATAAGCCGGGTAGCCCAGTGAAATCAGCAGCCTACCCCAGTGACGAGTCTACACTCGTCTCAGAGTTCACTCAGACTATTGGCAAGAACAGTGTTTGTTGTGAGCTGAGTATATGTGCCACAAACAACTGTGCTCCTAAATCTATGATTCTAACCCAAACTTACTCTGCAGGTAAATCTGGCAACATGTGGTGTTCACCAAATATGTGTACTGTGTACGAAAGAAGAGAGAGAGAGAGAGAGAGAGAGAGAGAGAGAGAGAGAGAGAGAGAGAGAGAGAGAGAGAGAGAGTGAGAGAGAAAGAGAGAGAGAGAGAGAGAGAGAGAGAGAGAGAGAGAGAGTGAGAGAGAAAGAGAGAGAGACACACACGCACGCACACACACACAGAGGCAATGGCATTACATACTAGTACATATAGGAGCCAAACATACCAAATCAAGGTCCCGTCTGCTATCCTACCTACGTGTGGATAGCCAAGAGCTGGGTGGACGGGAAATGAGGGCTATGAGGTGAGAGGATGTTTATGCAGAAAGTATCTATGAGCTCATACCCTAACAGCACACTGAATACCAAGCCACCAGTGTTCTAATACGAAGCCACACAGGACCATAACCATGAATCTCTGTGCACCTTCACTGTGCTGCACTACCATAACCACAGGCGCGTAGCACCGCCGTTGGAGGTGGTCTGGCCAAAGAGGGGGCTCCCCCGAGAAAATTTTGAAATTAGGGTGCAAAATCCTGCATTCGGAGCACTTTTGGCACTGTGTTTAAAAAACCATGGCTAGTGCATGAACCATGGCTAGTGCATGAATATTCACTACACTGTGTTACCCGTATGTATTGCTACTGAGTACACGTCACTACACTGTATCATCACCCATTGACAGGTCGAGCCTCTTACCTGGTCGCTCTCCGCACACAAACGCCGAGAGACGATCGGTGACTTCGTACTGCAACTCAATGAGCCGTTCCGCCAGTTCGTGGTATCCGGCAATCCTAAGAAATGTGAAGTCAAGAAATGAAGCGTAGGCAAGGTGAAGCCGCGAAGGCTATAGTAGTTTTTTAGTATAGTATTTATTCATATTTCTCTAGGGCAGTCCCCACAGACCTATGGTCTCCTTACGGGGTACCCTATAGAAGATTAAATCAACGGGTTCCCTTTCCTTCTTACCCTTTCTAACACCCAGGCAGACGGATTTCCCTAAGCTTTTGAAACTCGACAATGGTTAAAATTAGTCTCGACTTCCCGTATCAATTCAAATGTTCTTGAATCCGGAGCTTCGTGAAACGGACCATGGTAAAACTTTCCTAGTTCTTCCAACCACTTACCATTGAAATACTAGAACAGGATAGTGCAAGAGTCCGTAAGTGGCATCATTACTCTACAGGGTATTGTAATGGTGCCTGGTGAACACAAAGACTGATCAGGAATGGAGGGGATGTGTAAGCTATTGTGCTGGTGAAGCAGCTCTGCACCGTCCACCATAATTATGGTCTTGGCATTCGTGCCAGTTAGGGTCTTGGCACTTGTGCCAGTCTGTGCACCGTTACAGATGAGAGAATAGGGCAGTTACTGGAGGAACTCTAGGCGCCTATCTTACAACACCAATGAGTAATGCTCAATGTTGCTTAGACTGTAAGCCTGAGCGTGGTCCTATGTATGACATGCAACAGGCTAGTGGTCTCGGTCATTGGGGGAAGTCTAAATGTAGTGCTTGCTCAGTAACGGTCAAGCGAAGAGCCATAGAATGTCATAATACTACAGTCAACAATTGCACATACCTGGCACACTCGACTGGCGTGTGACCACGGCAATCCAGCGCACACGTGTCTGCTCCATGCACTGCAAGCAACTCACACTGTGCATACACACATGCATGATCACAGCATACGGCGTATATATATACAGTCAGACCTCGCTTATCCGGTCCTCTTTTATCCGGATCCCTCGCCATGCGGAAGAAAATAGCTGGTTACAGATTTACAACATACGTGATGCATGCAACATAACTGGTGTTCAATTATCCGGTTCCCTCGCCTATCCGGATATTTTTGTGGAAAACGGATGTGTGCGGTTAAGCGATGTCTGACTGTACTTTAATACACAAACAAGGCCGGTCTAGGCAGCTCGAAGCAGAGTGCTCAATGCACAAATGTCCAGAGCAGTATACACACAACAGAGAGGTGAACGGCTGTGTATATGTGACTCATAAACACACATGACTACAATCAAGACCAGTTGAATAGAGTGCCAGATGTGCGTGTGTGTGTGTGTGTGTGTGCACGCACACACACACGCACATCTGGCACTCACACAAACACACACACACACAAACACACACACCCACACACGCACACACACACACACAACACAGCACACAACGAATCAATCGCTCTTTATCGTTTTCAAATCACTGTACCTGGAGCAATTGTCCGGCCGACGCTGCCACGTGTATTGCCATGTTGCCTCTTTCCTGTAAAGAACAGTGAACTCATGAATGTCAGTTGTCGTCAAAGGAAAGAAAATGGCGGATGAGTTTCTTCTGCACACCCAACCTGCCACCTAAGCCGGTGTACAGTAAAACCTGTCAAGGCAACCACTCGGATAAGGCAACCACCTGTCCTAGAAGACCACTGGAACCAGGACCAAGGGATGCCATTTCCAGTCGATTGACCCTGGATAAGGAGACCACCTGGTAACAGAGACCACATTTTTGAAGGTCCCTTGAGCGGTCGTCTTAGACAGGTTTCTCTGTACTAGTTTCTTCCTGAATAAGTGCAAAACGACCGCGTCTAAGGATATCTCGCAAACACTCCCAAGCACCCCTCCCTCTCCCCTAGTCCCATACACACACACACACACACACACACACACACACACACACACACACACACACACACACACACACACACACAGTGACACACACACACACACATACACACCTAGTATAATGACAAAGGCAGAAGAGAACAGAAACAACTGGCCAGATGATTGTTGTAACACTGCGTTTCATGCACGTAGCACAGCTAAGGCAATCCTCAGACACAATCATTATACTATTCCACGTACCGGACTGAAGAAGTTAACCTGAGCGCCGAGTGACAGCAATCGCAGGCATGTCGTCAAGTTGTTGTGCCGAACACTAGCATGCAGTTGCTAGAGAACAGAACACAAGACAGAAAGCCTATAAACAGCGAGAAAAAATTCACGGTTCGCCTAAGACTCGTTTGGAGGCCGAGTTTTCCGCGCCCGTAGCAACGCCGTCATCCTCTATGGATCGAGGCGCAGGTGCCGCTCCTAAAGCGGTGGGAGGTGAGTAGATCCGACCCACCACAAAGTGGTCATAGACAAGAAAAGAAAAGAAGAGTACAAATCTTAAGCGCTTTGCCACCACCTTTATCAAGAACTGACTCTTTTTAAAAGGACTTGTGAACGTCACACGCCAGTTACCAGATACTGACATCGGACAACTGTCCTGATGGTAGCATCGTGAGACGCGCAGTACAGGTGTGAACCAAGCCGAGTAGCACAGCAATTTGTACGCTTGCCAAGTACTATCGTGGGTCATTGGAATCCGATGGGATGACGGGGGCCGGCCTTACGCCTTTTAGCACGTACACGCACTGTTGTTGAACTGTCCACATAAACCCTGTAAACATGGATCAGCAGTGCTCACAACTGCAAGGCCAGTGCCCCCCCCCCCCCCCCCCCCCCCCCGTGGCCGCTTGACTTCTCAACGGATTTCAATGTCCGGTAACAGTAGCATGACGGACACACCGTCTTAAATCGACATGCATGGTCTCGGGTGTGTAGCCCGCATGGAGCACGGAGGGCACGTGCACTCCCCTGGAACTTTTGACCTAGGTTCAGCAAGCACATAATGACCGTGAATGACATGCACCAGCCTTCATACACATATTCGGCCGGGTGCCTCCTAGAAGGGGGACCAGCACCACCCCCCCCCCCCCCCCCTAAAGGGGACCAGCACCCCCTAAAAGGGGACCAGCTACGCCTCTGGGTCTCTTACGCGACTGAAGTCCTCGATCAGAGCGTTGTCATCTTCCTTGGCCGGCTGACGTGCCACAAACTGCAGATGACGATACTTAGCGTGTATGAAGTTCTCCTTCATTGCACTGCCAGCAAAAGTACACAATGGGAAAAAAGAAGATCTAGTGCGGTGCATGTGAAAAGGGTGCTGAGCTGTACTTGAATAAAACAGAAAACCCATTTGAAGTCTGAACTTGCCACCAATTTTGGCTTAAAACCGTGCAAGGAAACCACAACCATTGCATCATTAATTTCGTTGACGGAATTCCATCTGGTTTTTGATATGAAACCTGGAAGGCCTTGCTACCACCAGAGGCGTGATTTCTCAAAATCTCAATTTTTTGGACCGTAGGCGCCCTTTTCACGTGCTCTGCACCATTTGTTATGGATCCGATATAAGAAGAAGTCACCATGCCCTGGTAGCAAGATACTGGCACCCTCATAGTAGCCATGGTAACTATGGCTGAAGACAGGTATGACAGGCTTGAATGGTCCCCATGTCCATAATTATGACAATGTATGAGACTGAGAGTTCACTTTCCCCGGTGACCCGTCAACAAGGCTCGGAGTGCGATGTTTAACCGACAAAAAGCAACAAGCACACACAACGTGCACATACAACGCACACACACACACACACACACACACACACACACACACACACACACACACACACACACACACACACACACACACACACACACACACACACACACACACACACACACACACACACACACACACACACACACACACACACACACACACACACACACACACACACACACACACACACACACACACACACACACACACACACACACACACACACACACACACACACACACACACACACATACACACACACACACACACACACACAGGCGTAGCTATACTCAGTGCAACTAATGGTAGCCCTAAAACGCACATGTCAAGACAATGCAATGTGCACGTAGCACTCAGAGGAATACAATTACAGAAAATGCAAAAACGATGCGATCGCACATGAGCCTCAACACTGACAACATCCACCAGACTTCCTTACTGTGAGTCTTTTGAGCCTGGCTTCTTGGGACTTGTGAAGCGACTTTTCCTCAGCGAGTGCTCCCAGATGGAGTTGGCACCTGTGTTGACCAGTGACCTCACCATCTATGTAATGTCCAATATCCAACACACATACACACGCAATACGCACGCACACACACACACACACACACACACACACACACACACACACACACACACACACACACACACACACACACACACACACACACACACACACACACACACACACACACACACACACACACACACACACACACACACACACACACACACACACATACACACACACACACACACACACACACACACACACACACACATAACACACATACAAACACACACACACATACACACTCACAAACACACACACATACACACACACACACACACACACATACACACGCGCGCGCGCACACACACACACGGACACACACACACACACACACACACACACCAGAGATAGAGAAACGAATTCAAATGTCACAGATGTAGGCAAAGAAGAGTACAAGACATCAATGAGTCCCAATAGGATGTTCCGTTGAACCGAGATATTCCATGATATGATAGAGCACCGCAAAACCAATGGTACAGATCTGACAGACTCATTATTATTATTATTATTACAAAACCAATGGTACAGATCTGACAGACTCATTATTATTTATTCCCGTAGCTATGCAGAAGACGTTACTTCAGTAACGTCTGGCGCTAGCCAGGGTCCACACAGCTTTAATTTGGTGTTTGTTTGTTTGTGTGTTTGTTTCACGCCTGGAGCTATCCCGTATCTTTCCCGTATCTGTCCCGTATCTGTGACTACAAAGGCTCTACAGGATTGTACATAACAGCTGTCCAAAATATTTGCTGGCTCCCGTATCTGTCCCGTACCGTACCAATATTCGTCGTATTATGTATACGACTCCCTGATATAGAGGGAGATTTGGAAAGAAATAGGGAGACGAGGAGGAAATTAAATTAGAATAGACGCCGAATAGGTGATAGGATGCGTCAGCAAAAACATACTTTGGAAGAGAAATCCCGTCGTCTCCAAAATAAGCGTGAACGGGCGATTCAGTGCCGGTCACAGGAAACGTCTGAAGAGAGAGATCCCGTCGACTCCAGAACGCCCGTGATCGGCAGAGTCAGCGCCGGTCACAGGAAACGTCAGGACAGACATACCGTCGAGTCCAGATCGCCCGTGATCAGCAGAGTCAGCGCCGGTCACAGGAAACGTCAGGACAGACATACCGTCGAGTCCAGATCGCCCGTGATCGGCAGAGTCAGCGCCGGTCCCAGGAAACGTGGGACGACACAAATGCAAGAAATGAGCATAGGAGGCTTAATCGTGCAGATTCGTGTCGTGCTACTGCAGCTGCGCACATGGAAACTGTGTGATGGATGTGAGAGCAAAAAATACCGATCGATTTCTTTTTGAAAACTCCAATCGGCCAAAGTTTAATGACGGCGAAAAGTTTCGTTTCGAGATCGGCCAAAATGTGTTGATGTACAGTCTAAGAAGATCAAAAAGAAAAGAAGGAGCAAACCAAAAGTGGATGAAATTAGAGAAAAATAACAATCCGAAATAAATTCTACAAATACTTTTGCCTAACTCATATTTAAACTGATCGAAACGTTTTTTGCAATACAATGATGTGGCGAATCAACGGAAAAAAACATTTCCATCAGTTTTAATAACATGTACGATGAGGTAGGCAAAAAAGCATAGCGTAGTGCCCTGAGCTTCCAAGCTCTCTCTCGTTATTATTATTATTAGCGTGAGGTGAGGGTCCCTGGGTCGTGTCCTGGTGGTGACAGTCAGATTTTTTCTTCGGACTTTCCCCCCTTATGTCTTTCCCTCAAACCAGTGAATATTACTATTTATTCATACTTTATTACGGCAGTCCCCAAAGACTCAAGGTCTTCTTACGGGGTAGAGGAGACGGTTTCAAATAGGACATAGGTTGCAAACCGGAACGGTCTCAATATTCACTTTCTCTCTTGGTATTTTGATTAAAAAACGTATGTCACAGTGAGACTACGGTGTGTTTTACTTCGAGCCAAAATGTCATGGCTCTGCGATGACCAGACGCGCTATACCATGCATTTGAGTTTTTGACGTGTTGCTTCGCACTGCGACTTGAGTTTTACGTCTTTTGAAACATCAACTTCTTGTCGCAGGTAAACAGCGGCTCGCCTCTCGCCAATAAAGCACCGTATACCAATTAAAACTAATGGAAGCACACACAAGGCTTATTGGTGCTCTGTACTGACCGTCGTGGAGCGATAGCAATTACCGAATTTCAGAACTCAGAGTGAACTTGACGTGCACTCCAAAACCTTTCCGGTTCGGAGCCACCTCTGTAAACACCAAAAATTGAGGGCAACTTGGAGGCAACGGGCCAACACAAAGGAGTGGCTCAGATCGATCGACTCTGGCCTCAAAGCAAACTTCCTTACACAAACATATTTCGAGTGAACAGCCCACGCTGATGATTGGTTCGGGTCTACACAATTTTGCTGTCAAACCGTTCCGGTATCGAACCGTCGCCTCTACGCTAAGAACGAAAGTAATGCATGGCGAAATAGGTATGGCGATGCAGCAGTGCGGGAGACTTCACATACCGCTAGCTATTTCCAGAATCAAATACAGTGAAGCCTGCCCTAACCGGACACCCTTGGTGCAGGGGGAACGTCCTGATAGGACAGGATTCTGCTTGGTACAGCAGGGCACACGATAACGGTCGGACATCGGACATTTTCCGACCATTTTCGATTCGAATCCGGCGCTTTTTTTCTTGAACGGACAATCTGTCCGATCGAAATTCACAAAATAGCGTCGCTGGGAAAGAGAACGGCTGAGGACAATGGCGCTCTGCCTGGGAAGAAGTCTCACGAAGTCAGAGCAGCAACCTGTGACAACAGGGTTTTACAGCAAGACAGGGAGCTGTCCACTTCAGTGTAGCTCCAGTTTGAGCGTAGCAAACGATCGAGGAGTTTTGAAATGAAATTTCTTCCTTTCTCGCTACAATAGGGACTATTCCGCGAGGCGCTTGTACAATCCGAAATATTGAAAACGTCCCTGTTCCAGGGAAACAAGGCGTCAGAAATGTGTGCCAGCTTGCGATATGCCTCTATCGAAAGGAGCAGTCTTCTGCAAATCCAGTCAAGTACGCTCCTGTTGCACAGGCGCTGTGCAAGATCGACGGAGCAGCAGCAGCGAAATAAGTCAGAAGTTCAACGTCGCGTAGAAACTACGTGCTGTTCAAAGAGCACATCGCGTTTGCAAAGATGGGAGCCTTCAGCCAACTCGAGTAGTGACATGTTGTCGATCTTGGAGTTGGCAACAAGAAGTTAGAATGGGCAAGCAGATGCCCACTTTGTCTTTTGTCGACTGCGTAAAAATGAATGTCTTCGATCTGCCGCTGAAAAACCAGGTCAAATCCGAAATGTGCAGAAACACTGCACGCTCATATCACAGTTACTATGCTTGCTGAAAAACGCACAGCGATTTGAATCAGTGTTACAATACTTGAGATCAGTGTGATGATCATCCTTTATGTGACCAGCAATACGGTATACCGCAGGGTGATGTAGCATGTACCGGTACATGCATGTGTGCATTATGCAGTGGTGTCGTGTAGCCAATAATAATAATTATTTTTTATTATGAGTGCTGAGTACCAGACTTGTAAAAAAATCACAGTGTCCGGCCATGTCCGACCGGTTCCAGAAGTGGCAGGACATTGTGTCAGAGCAATTTCGAAATCTTATCGTGTCCCCTGTACAGGGATGCACGCTCGACGCACATCACTCGTGAAAACCGTTTATTTGTCCGGTCAATACAGGATTCCGCTCGGTACAGGGTCCGGCAAGCACAGGTTTTACTGTGCACGCCGCCTGCCACGGATACGGCAGCAAAGACAAACAGTGAGAGAACACCGCTACAATACAGGTGCGTAGTTCGTGTGCAGTCAGGGTAGTCCGGTCACCACGCAAGCAAATGGCCGGCATACATGTAGGCAGCACATAGTCAAAAAAAGCGGAAAATTGAAGCTATGATGAGGTTGCCAGTAGTACATAGTCAGCACACCACATTATGTACTCTGGCACATAACGTTAGTCACCACAGCACATTATGTACTAGCTACGCCCCTGCAATGCGGTCTACACTCATTACTCACCTCCATCAGGGTCTCTGGCCAGTAGCCATGGCGCAGGGAGCGCAGGTGGGAGATGTGCCTGCCTAGCTTGGCATGGAAGCTTGCACAGTCGTCGCATACTAGCACGCCGCGGTTGAGAGACGCCCAATTAGGTCCTGCAGCATAAACACACGCACGCATACACACACACGTGATATACACACACACACACACACACACACACACACACACACACACACACACACACATACATACACATACACACATACATACATACATACACACACACACACACACACACACAGGACGTGCACGCGCACGCACGCACACACACAGACACAGACACACACACACACACACACACACACACAGACACACACACACACACACACACACACACACACACACACACAGACGTACAGAAAGAAAACACCCATCAGCTGCAGTCGAAGGTGTTCATGAAATGGTTCATACCAAGGAATGCCGCCACCATAATCAGGAACCAGTTTGGTTGTGTACTTCGCACAGCACAGGGGGGGGGGGGGGGGTCAATCAGTATAACCCGTACTATACTGTACACTGCCTCACGTTGGTGTATTTCAGTGGCTGCATGCGTGTGAGTGGTCATAATGCTCGGGATTTCGTCACCGCTGCTTCTGTTTGCTACTTCAATCTACTGTAAAAGCCATTATTCTAACGAGGCGCTTATAATTATAACGATTTCCCAAAATTGACTGGTTTACGTGTGCCAAAGGTAACGATTCTCACTCATTCTCAACGCTCAATAGGACAGTATATGTATGTATTGATTTCTGTATAACGATTTCTATTTTAACGACAGATTTCTCCTCGTTAACTCGTTAGAGTTAGCACTTCGTTATATATATGGCTTTTAATAATAATAATAATAGTTACAGTTCGCATGTCACTCATGGAAGGATCCATGGGCTTAACGCATCTGTCAACGAAATCCAGGCAGAAGAGCCGACCAAAGGCATCTCATTATTGTTAGAACGTATCGCAGTAAGAACAACTACGCAAGCGCAGCACATTTTTCCACAAGCATCAGCCATTCTTTCTTGTCTAGAGCCAGTTCAAAACAGTCAGAAATATCAATATTGGCGTGCTTAAGATCATTTTTAATATTGTCAATCCATCTGAGATGGGGTCGGCCACGTGGGCGCTTGATGTCCCGGGTATTAATTGCCATCTCCAGTGCTTGGTAGGACGCTGAGTTACGTCCTTCGCGAACAACATGGCCCAGCCAGAGCAGCCGATATGGCTTTTACAGTACTAATAATATTCGATTGTTTTCGTTGCCTATGTCCTCATCTCTCTTCGTTTTGTTTTCGCTGCCTGGGCTCTCATTTATCTTTGCGTGCTTGCTTGCTTGTATTGCTGAGGGAACATATGCTGGTTTGTATTCGTGGGTCCCCATGGTGCATCCGGCGGATATGTGTGAATAATAATAATAATAATATTCGACGGCTCCCAGCACCCCACAGTGCACTACAGTGCTGGCGGTCGATGAACAACTAGCAACTAGCGGGTCAGCGTTGTGGCGTAGGCCGTTCTTATTTTCATATATTACCAGTCTGTGCACTGTTGAGTCACTGTGTATACATCGGTATGCTGTGCTTCGTGAAATTCTAGCCTGGTTGTTCTTCGGCGCTCCGTTCTTCAGCGCCCGACAGGACCGTATATTTATTTCTAACTACGGCCTAGTCCTGCACACAGTGAGTGCGTTCCATTACGCACCTGAATGGATTCGTGAATGGAATCTTGCTGTTGGGTTTCATGTCATGAGCCCTGGAATCGAATCGCGCTCAAAATGGAACCCAGACACTGGGATAGGGGTAACAGAGACCACCTGGTAACAGAGACCACCTGGTAACAGAGACCACCTGGTAACAGAGACCACCTGGTAACAGAGGCCACATTTTGAAGGTCCCTTGAGCGGTCGTCTTACACAGGTTTCACTGTGCATTGTACCACACCTTTGTACAAACTCACTGAGTTTGTGTTCCGTTCATATTCCTGCCAGACGTAGTTATGACTAGAATGATTTGTTGACTCCCCCTCCCCCCCCCCCCCCCTGCTTTCTTGTGGATATGATTATGAACCTGAGTCCTGAGCCCTGACTCACTTGTGAGGTTTGCATTCGCCACTAAGGTGTAAAGGCATAGTGGTGGCCTGCGGAAGCGAAGGCTATAGCTTGTGTGTTTCTGAACATTCAAGTGATGCTAACGCGGATCCCGCGAATATTATTATATTAGTCCTGAGCCAGGCTGAGGGAAAGAGTACTGTACAAGCAGAAATATTCGTCTGGAATTTAGTTTCGTCTTCTTCGTCCAAGGAGCTTTTGGACTAAATTAAATGCCGGACGAATGTCGATTTGTCCAGCTTTTCAATACACTCTTATGATTCATGGACGAAATTTACAGCCGGACGAACTCCCTTTCTTTGGAGTTGGACGAAATTATTGACTGACGAAATTTTCTGCCTGTACAGTAGTTTAGACTATGCATTCACTGTATGGCAGCTGCTTGCTAAACACTAGAGTGACAGCTCAAGACAAGAGCTAGAGCCAGTACTCAGTAGAGGTCTGCTGTGTCCCGATTCACAGCTTGCAAGAGGGTGGGGAAGAAATCCCCAACACTGGCAACAGGGCATGTCTAGGGTCACACCAGTGCAGCCAATGTACGTCAATGAGCAGTGCAGTCAGTGTACGGTACGTCAATGAGCAACTGAGAACCCAATCGGCTGAGTAACAAGGTGTTGGATGCGAACACCACAAGTACTACAGTAGTTGATCCTGAACCGGAGACTGCTTTTTATTAGTGAATGTCAGCATTCCTCTCTGCGGACGCAGTATCACCCTGTCGGCGTGGACCACAAACCACCGACTAGCTGCGGTCTCTCTCTCTCTTCCAGAGCAGCCCAGGCAAAACACACCCATTTCGCAGTACAGTGTCAGTGTACGCATGTCTTTCGTGCAGTCTGTTTACCACTGTGCATGCATCGTCTCAGCCAGACAAACAAGAACGACAGCGTGGTAGCTAGCTGCTCCTACGTGCAGGTCAGAATCCCTGGAGAAATAATCAGCCTTCTCCATGATCCAGTCGTTTTCCTTTGACAGCTGGTTTGCAACTTCAAGTTATACCAGGCCTCACGTAGCCTAGCCTAAGCCTCGGTCAGTTGTGCGACAAACAACCTGAGCTGACAACTATGTCGTACCGTAGTGTTATGTCATGGCTCTTCGACCACCTGTCCATTTTCGTCACTTCTTTACAATGTTGACCTCCAGCTTTAGGACCTGTCACAGTACTTCTCCAAGGAGGTTGACGGCTTCGGGCAGATTATTTTTTCCTAACACGAACAGGTACGGCGACCGGTGACAGCGCTCCTCCATTTCCAAGAAAAAAAACCCCAGAGAGAATGGGATCTCTGGCGAACGACTAAATCCATTCACACTAAACTAATGATTACTCAATCTCCGTAACTAATAACACGATTGTGTTACTGCGCGCAAGTGACAGTCAGCACGATGTTGTTGTGCACACGAATTCGAAGTACATGGGTCACCTCCGGCTCTCTGCTCTGTCGGAAATCCACAGACACCAAACTACCGGTGCTCACTCGATTCGAGTCGCAGCAGTTTTACACCTGCGCTGAACTACTTTGCCTTCGTCTCTCCGAGTCTGACACTGTGACAGGTAACTAACTGGCTCGCAATACATGTACTTGTAGTCTACTTCTAATAGTAATAGATTTTTTCTCAACGCACTAGCGCAGCAGAAAATTGCTGCACGCGAGCGAGCTGACGTCTACACGCCCCATCACGCTCAGGCAACACCGCGATTTGTTCGTGGCTCGGTGAGACATCACAACCACCTGAGCTGAGCACGAACGCACAGACTTTCGCCACTGCCACTGGCCATCATACGACGCCACACTTCAATCAAAAATTGATGGTGACAGCAGAACGAACCATCACACCAAATAACTCTTCGCAGTGCGACTGGGCTCTATCTAGTCTAGCAAAAGCAGCGAAAAACACAGGTGCTCTCATTGGGATTTCGCACACATCCGCCGCCAGAAGCCATCTACGCTGTGAGAATACACAACTATTTACATCATTCTACATGATTGTACTTGTAAACTTCTCGCCTATCTTGACCATCCCGACAATGATAAAGACATTGATACTTTCATGACACAAAGATTCTAGATGCGCCATTCGCGCACCTCCACGAACTGAACGATCCTCACAGGGAGGAAAAGATCGTCTGTCCGGGTCTCCCAAAGAAGTCACAGCTCCTAATCATTAGAAAATAGGAGGTCGGATTGCAATAGCTAGAAAACAGTCTGTGCTCATTCCGTACAGTACAATTTATTCACATGATGCTGTACAGATTAGCAGTGGTGCACGCGAGAGCACATCAGCACAAACAACACGAATTCCGAGCCACACGAGATCCACTGCGTACAAAACAGACGACACCGCGTCCACAGCCAAGGGCACATGGGCATGATCCTGATGTTGTGGGCACACACACACACACACGCAGCTGCAACAAGAAAGACCACTTCACCGACTCATCGGAAACTACTTAGGGAATGGCGCGCGGTGCTTTCTGAAGTGCTATCGCGCGAGCACGCTTCACTGTTTTTAGGCACACGCTACGGGATGAACTGGAAGCCATAAACCAAGTCATGGCCAGATGAGAGAGGAGTAGAGAAGGGGCATAATACCTGGCATCGCTCATTGATGACCAGGATGTCCGCATATTCATTGCTCCATCGGAAGCTCGCGAAAGCTCGCAACGCGTAGCAACTAGAACTAACTTGATTGAAAGCAGGGGACTAGAACTACTTGAAACTCATTTGGAGCTGAGCTCTTTGCAAGCGAGGAGGCTGACACCAATACCACCTGCGCGTGGGCTCGACAGGGAGGAAATATTTATGGGCAATTTCATCACGCAACGCGATCAGTCGTAACTTCGTGATTTGTCAGGCCTTTGCCTGGCTTTGGCTTGAGCATGCACTCGGTCACTTACCGGGAGTGTTGCAGTCTGCGCAGACATCCGCCGTGCTCAGACGATTCTCGCGCTTTCCCATTGCCTCGAACTCACTGAAAGCACCACTACTTTCTTTGCACTGAGACAAAACTGAACTGAAATGAGGCAAACCCACTCAACTAACTAAACTCAGTTACCGTCCTTATGCCTTATCTCAAGCTACTGCACTGTCTGACTGACTCTAGTAGGTCTACACACTAGTACAGACTACACTGTTCTGATTCAGTGAGTGTCCATGACACGCAAAACACCACAGGTCCACAGGTCCACATGCGTGCTACATACTGCAGTAGTACAATCATGATTGTAGATCTACACTGCATGCACACGTCTGCAGTCAGAGCGGGACAGTCCGTCTTGCATGCAGCGAGATAATAATAAAGACCACAAAAAACTAGACTACTACTAGTACACTAGTGCTACTATGCGCGCAAATACTCTAATTTCAGAAATTTTCGGTGCTAAAAAATTAATATTTTCGGTATGAGGGCAACAGGCTAGGTTAGGTGAACAGAAATTTTCGGTACAGAGAAGCAGTTCCCTATTGGTTTATGTGTGTTAGTGTTTGTTCGGTGTATTGAAATTTTAGGTATGAAACAGACGCACCGAAAGTACCGAAAATAAAAGTACACCGAAAACTTCTGAAATTACAGTAGTGCCATAGTGATAATGCCTATGCCAAATAGCGGCTACATGTCATACTCATTTGTATTGTCATGTACATGACATGAACATTGTAGATGCTGGCAGTGTTTTTTTTTGCACTAAAATAATGTCTTTATTCAAAGGAACATGGTGTGTGTAGCTGAGATACATGTACATGTATCTAGCAGCACCATACTGTATAACAAGAAAATAATATTTTACTAAGGAGAAAGACACACTCTAGTCTTGAACAACTTCTTGAAAGTACAATGTAATCAGTTGTCACGACTTCCAACTTCCAAGCCTTCTCGTCAGGTGCAATACAGGCGTAATTAGCAAAGCAACAAGAAAACAGGACTAGGCGACGTGGAGACAATAATCTTAATAATGCAATGAATATACATGTAACTAAATGCGCACTCATATCACAACAATGGGGACGAATAATGTATTCCAGAACGTTTTCTTGTCACAATTATCGATGGAATTCGTGACTAAAGAGAATGATGAAACTACAATAGGATTTATACACTTGGAGCGGAACAGCGAGGATACAAGCATAGTAAGAAAAATAGCACAAACCTAGGAACAATTTGCACAGGTAATAAACTATAGGTGAGGTGAGAAATGATAGGAAATTCAGCAAGTGCAGTGTGACATTGGACATGCATGTGCAAGTGTGTGTGAGTGCGAATTTACTGGAAGAGCGTAAGTGCGGTGACATTTTCTTTTTGTTTACAAAGATTTGGATCACGAATGCGAATGTAGACTGCTTCTAGAACACACTTGCACATGCATGTCCAATGTCACACTGCCCTTGCTGAATTTCCTATCATTTCTCACCTCACCTATAGTTTATTAACTGTGCAAATTGTTCCTAGGTTTGTGCTATTTTTCTTACTATGCTTGTATCCTCGCTGTTCCACTCCAAGTGTATAAATCCTATTGTAGTTTCATCATTCTCTTTAGTCACGAATTCCATTGATAATTGTGACAAGAAAACGTTCTGGAATACATTATTCGTCCCCATGGTTTATTAGTGCGCATTTAGTTATATTCATTGCATAAAACAGGACTACGTACATGTAATTGTTTTCACGCTTGCTCGGTTTCTCACACTTGCACCGTTTTCAAGTTTTTGTCATTCTTTCTACATACTGTAACATAGGACATGACTCCTTGCTTACAAAATGTACAGTGTACATGTACATGTACATGTGTATTCATGTTGGTCACCGCACTCGCGCATTTTCGTTTTGTTGTTTCTCGCTACATGTACATGTCCGTATCTTCTTTGCGCTGTTCTATTACGTCTACCCTGAACTACATTGTATATGTAATTACTTCATGTTCCTTTGCTCTTGTCTGCATTTCACCTGACGACGAGAAGGCTTGAAAGTACATGTACAGTGAACCTGTGTAAGACGACCGACCGCTCAATCAAGGGACCTTCAAAACCTGGTCTCCGTTACCAGGTGCATGGTTTCCTTATCCAGTGTGTTCTTCTTCTTATCATTGTCGACTATTGCCTCCGAGGAAACTGTTTTCGTTGACGTGTAATTTAGGTGCAAAGGAAATATCGTCAGTGTCGGGGAACTGCCAAGTAACAGTTACAGGTACTGTAAAGCGTGAAATTTTCGCGGCGTTTTTAGTTCGCGTTTTCAGAATCCGGACAGGTTTGCGAGGTTTTAATTTTGCGATTGCAGAATGTGCTACCGTGGCATTCTTGCTAAACCTTTCATGGATCTCCTTTTCGCGCTGTCTAAATTTCGCGATTTCCACGCGATCGCGAATTTCGCAGAAATTAAATAAGTTATAAGGTGTATCTGTAGTACAAAGCGTCGTGTACACCTCCGTGCACTTTAGAACAGCCTCTGCTCGTATTACAGTCTTGGTCACGGACGCCAAGAAGGTCGCGGAAGAATCGTTCTGGCCTGACGAAGTGGCCGTACTGTAAGAGAATGGCGATTTGGTACAGAGGCCTGGGCCACCAAACCAGCATAATGCCGCACACCACCTACCGGTATTCACAACCCCTCAACCCGCATGCTCCTGTGTTCACCCCTTCGTCCCCAAATCCTCCAACCCCAGCACTCTACTCTATAATTCATCCTAATATTAGGCTCGGCACAGTTAACACTTGCAGCTGGCTCAAAAGGTCTGACAAAATTAAGAATCTGTTCTCCACCTCTCATCTGGACATACTGGGTGTTACTGAAACCTGGCTCACGGCTGATATTCCCAGCTGCCTACTTGCACCTTCAGCTGACCATGCTGTCATACGAAATGACCGACACAGCGACAACCTACGGCGTGGCGGCGGAGTGGCATTTCTTGTACATCCATCAATATCACATACACACCGTCCGGACCTTCAACCTCGTGACCAGACTATTGAAATAGTATGCATTGAACTCCATCATCGCCCTACTCCCGCTTTTGTGTTTTGCTGTTACCGCCCACCTTGGCAATCACCAGCCCAGTTCTGCGACTCATTCCGTACATGTATCCAATCAATACCTTGTCCACAGGCTTCCATATTAGTTGTGGGTGATTTCAACGCTTGTCTATCCAGATGGCTGACACCCGATCCCGACACACCTGCTGGTTTATACATGTCTGACACCCTTGATAACCTTGGCCTATCCCAAGTTGGAGACCAGCAGGCAACCCGCTATTCTCCTGGCGGCAATACATCTTCTCTGCTTGACTTGGTTATAACCAATGTTCCGTTTAAACTCTCGCATCTCACCATTCTCCCACCCGTGTCTGACCACTGTCCTGTTGTTTTCGATTTCGCTGACCCTAAGCTCCCAGCAACTCCAAACCCTCAATCCTCGTCTCCATGTCTATCCACTCGGCTTGACTTCGCCCATACTGACTGGCAAGAACTTAACGATCACTTGTGGAAGCTGCCGCTCCTAGATACGATCCGAAATGCGCAAACAGTAGACGATGCCTGGTCTTCCTGGCGCACCATGTTGGAAGACGCAGTGTTCTCGTTCGTTCCAGTTATCCGGAGGCGAGTGTTCCCAACGAACAAACCCTGGTTCGCAGCCACTCATCATCGGCAACGGCAATGTAGGGACCGTCTCTTTTCGAAGGCTAAGCGTCTAGGAACCACGGAAGTTTGGACTTTGTACAGACTTGCTCGCAACCGTCTCAACTCTGCGATTCGCAAAGCCAAGCGCCACTTCCACGAAAAGATGGCCAGAGACCTGCAAAACCACCGTGGGTCCTACTCATGGTGGCGAAAAGCGAAACTCCTTTGCAACATCAATCGCCCGACCTCTGCTATCCCCGACCTCCAGGAAGACGACCAGATCAAGCCAGTGACTAGCAGTGCAGACAAGGCCGCCCTCCTCGCTAGGAAGTTTGCCAGTTACAGCCAGGCTCCCTTATCACAGCCTGATCTGCACTCTGCCATCTCGCTACCGACTTCCACCGAGAAATTTTCCATTCAGCACTTCTCTGCCCAATCCGTATTCGATAGTTTACATAGACTGTCTACATATCTCTCTACTGCTGGTAAGTTGTGTAACCGAATTCTCAAAGAAACTGCTGAAGCTACTTCCCAATCCCTCGCAGTCCTCTTCAACCGCTGTTTACTCGCCAAAACACAGCCTCGCGAATGGAAATCTGCCATTGTGGTACCCATCTTTAAAGGCAAAGGTTGCCCCGCCGAACCGAGCAACTACCGCCCAATTTCTCTGGTAAATGGAATCGCTAAGGTGTATGAGTCAATTGTCAGTCGCCAGTTCTATTCGTTTGTTGAGAAACATAAGCTTATTAGTGAAAACCAATTCGGATTCTGCAGAACCAAGTCAACAGTCGACCAACTTGTTCAGCTTACAACCACGGTTTCCTGCGCTCTTGACATGAAATCACCTTGCGATCAGGTTTTCCTGGATTTCTCCAAGGCATTCGACAGGGTCAGCCACAACTTGATCCTGGAGTCGGTTTCCGGGTGGTGCTCGTCAAACGCTTGCGATTGGATTAAAGACTTCATCAGTGACCGTAATATCTGTGTCTGAGTTGGGCAAAGTCAATCTGATCCGTTGCCCATCACAGCTGGGGTGCCTCAGGGGTCTCATCTCGGCCCGCTCCTCTTTAATCTATGCAGAAACTCTTTTCCTGATGCCCCTGTCTCCAGTACTCTCTCTCTTTTTGCTGACGACTCCAATTTAGTCCTTGTTTCCCCGCCTAAAACGTCAGTGCCCGCTCACCGTGCCAGCTTTCAAGCTGATATTGAACATTGCCTCAAATGGTCAAGAACCACTGCCATGAAGTTTAACACCAGCAAGTGTGTTCATGTGTCCTTTCGGAAACATGCTGTGACTCCCTGCCCACCCCCCTTCAAAATGGATGACACTGATGTTACGACGGCTGACAGGCACTGTCACCTTGGTATTACCCTTTCCCCGAACCTTAGTTTCTCTAACCATAATACTAAAATCACCAGTAAGTATCGCAGTAGAGTATTTCTATTATGCCACAT